GATGGAGCTGGCCTGAGTGCTTGCTGGCAGGAGGTAAGTGGCGCTGCTGATTCGTGACCCGGGGGTGGGCAGCGGTGATGGCTGGCTGACGGATGCCGGAGCGTGGCTGCCCCCGGTGACAGCAGCCGGTTCTCACAGCTGCCTGAAGCAGGACGTGGGGGGTTAGTTGTTGACCTGTGTGCTCCGCACTGACTTCCCACTTCCCGGTGGGTGCCCACAGCCATGTGCAGGCGCGTGCAGATGGGGACACAGCAGACACGCAGACCCCAGCTTGGACAGAGGCCCGGGCCCCACCTCCACCTTGCTCTGCAGCTCTGCCATCTGTCTGGAGTGCCGCCCCTTCTCACCAACTGCTTCTCTTGCCTCCCCACACTCGCCCAGAAACTCCGCTCGGAAACAGTCGCCCGGCCAGAGTGGCTCAGTTGGTTGAATGTTGTTCAGTGCACTGAGAGGTTGCCAATGTGATTCCCAGTCAGGGCACATACCTGGGCTGTGGGTTTGGTTGGGGCAACGGATAGATGTTTCTCTCACATCGAAGTGTCTCTTTCTCCCTCTCTCTCTCAAATCAATCAATATATAGATCAGCCGTGGGCAAACTACGGCCCGCGGGCCGGATTCGGCCCGTTTGAAATGAATAAAACTAAAAAAAAAAAAAAGACCGTACCCTTTTATGTAATGATGTTTACTTTGAATTTATATTAGTTCACACAAACACTCCATCCATGCTTTTGTTCCGGCCCTCCGGTCCAGTTTAAGAACCCATTGTGGCCCTCGAGTCAAAAAGTTTGCCCACCCCTGATATAGATAGTCATCTTGGTCCTGTGCAGACTCGTGTGGGGTGTGACCTTACAAGCTTTCTTATGCCTTTGAGCAAGTCCTCCTCATCGGTGAGCACTGGGTCCCTCATCTACAAAATAGGGCAAGTGATTTTCCTGCTGAAAAGGAAACAAGGCAACTTATGTAAAGCGCTACACACAGTAAACATCAAGTCTACTTTCCATGGTTTTGGCTGAATGAGTAAGAGTGACGTACAGTGCTTAGAACTGCACCCCGCACGCAGCAAGCCCTCTGTAGGTGTGCTGTCCCCATCACCAGCAGCATTACCACGATGTCATTGTCATTCATACCGCTGGTTCTAAACTTTTGGCCAATGATACATTAATTCTGGCTCATGACCTGAATACTCTTTTATCCCATATGACGGTGAGGGAAATGGTTTCTTTTTGTCCCAGGTGCCTTGTAAGGAGGGCAGACATTGTGTTCTCTGAGCTCCTTGATGGAGTTGGGGTGCCGGGTAGAGCCTGGAGCAGGGGTGGCCGGGCTCTCCGCAGAGCACAGACTTGGAGTTTGGGGAATTTGACGCGAACCAACCAGACAGGTGGCCAAAGGCCGTGTCCTCCACAAGACCCTTCTCTGTGACTCCAAACTATCAGAAAAGTGTACAAAGCTCACACATGCTTGGCATCAGCGGGCACCTTATAGAACTCAGCGAAGGGGCTGGACTCAGTGGACTGCACTGCCGGGTTGGCGAGGACCCAATGGACATGGCGAGGGCAGGAGCTGGAACAAAGGGGACTGGGAAGCATTGCCTTTCCCTCCACACCCCACCCTGGAATTGGCAGAAACCACGGGGAGCCCTGAGGACCCCCACAGGCTGTGGGTGTGCCGGTGAGGCGAGGAGCGAGCTCTCCCAGGCGCAGACAGCGACATCGACATCGATGTCGGACACCCCCAGGCGGCGAGCTCAGCGCTGACTGTGTGCCAGACCCTGTGTGTGCTGCTCACAGCGTACGTTTGGGGGCCAGAGCGCCCTGGGTAAATCTCGGCCTTTCCACTTATTAGCTGTTTGATCCTGGACAGTTACTAACCTCTTTGTGCTTTAGTTTTCTCACCATTTTGTTTGTTAATCCTCACCGGAGGGTATTTTTTTCCCCACTGAATTTTAGAAAGAGTGGAAGGGAGGGGGAGAGACACACAGAGAGAAACATCAATGTGAGAGAAACACATTGATTGGTTGCCTCCCACACGGACCCGACTGGGGTGGGGATGGAGCCTGCAACTGAGGTACATGCCCTTGACTGGAATTAAACTTGAGATCCTTCAGTCTGAGGGCCGACGCTCTAGCCACTGAGCAAAACTGGCTGGGGCCTCAGTTTTCTCACCTCTAAAATGAGGGCCACTTCACTGGGTCGTTGGGGGAGTAAATGAGTAATTCATGCGAAGTGCTTAGAGCAGGGCCTGGCACGTGGGAAATGCCCAGTAAGTGTCAGTGGTTTTACCGCACTGTATCCTCACTACAGCCCGCGGAGGTTCTGAGCGTGTGCACTTCATGCACAAGGACGTGAAGACAGGGAGGGTCCACAGTCACTTGTCCGAAGTCACAGCTGGTAAACGGCAGAGCCAGAGGCGCAGAGGATGAATCCGGACGAATACTGTTCTTTATTTCTGGCAAGATCTTTAACTCCGAGCGGCCTTGGGAAAGCCATTCTCCGTGTGTGGGACTTGGACAGCATGTCCTGGGACTCCATGTTTATATGTCCCGGACACCTAACCTGCCTGTAACCTGCTTCTTGGCAGTCAGAATCTGTCAAGGAACCGGCAGGTGTGGAGGGAACAGTCTAGAAGCAGGAGTCCTGTGTTGTCCCAGGCCTGTTCCATGGGTCCCTGTCACTTCACTCCTCTAGGTCCCGACCCCCCTCTAAAATGGAGATGTCGTAACCAACCTGTGAATCGGTGTTGGGATTCACATGTGAGAGGTGGGCACACGTGGGTGGGAGAGATCGCACATCTCCCCATCGGTCCCTAACTCACCGTACCCATTTACAGCACACGCTACAGGAACCAGGCGGGTCCCAATATCCGGACTTGGGCCTACCACACAAACCCCATATCCCTGCCATTAGCCACCCTCTGAGGACTTTAGGAGACAGGTTCAACTTGAGCAAAGCATCAAGTTTTTCTTGGCCTGGCCTTCAAGTTCTTTCCCTAACCTCCCTCCAACCGGCCTTCCCTGTCTCACATCTCACCACTCCGCGCAGTGATCCAGCCCCTGGGACCAACACCGTTCCTAAAGCCATCACATGCTTCTTGCCTCTCGCCCCTCCCCCCGCCCTCCTCACCTGTGCAGATACTCTTCTTTCTGCTTGGCATGCTTTTGCTTGCTGGGCCAACTCATACATCTCATATTCATTCTTTAAGATGCAGTTGGAGTCACCTCCTCTGGGAAGCACTCCAGGAATCATTTAACTGTTTTTTCAGTGTTTCCAGGACCTTGTTCTGTTAATTCTGCTACAACTCTTACCAAATGCATTATTATTGGCTACTTCTGCCCACTGCCTCCTTGAGTTACTGGAAGGCAGGAATGACAAATCTGTGTAACTTGGGTGAGTCACTACTCTCTGAGCCTCAGTTTCCTCACCTGTGAACCGGGGCCGACAGTATCTAACTTAGATGAAATACTACAGATAAGGCACTCAGGACATAATGGCCATCTCTGGATCTGTCACAGTGGAGGGAATGAATGAATGCTCGCTGGGAGGGTGAAAAAATAAAGCTAATGAGTACTTATTGATCACATTCAATAATGTGTCAAGAAGGCACTGAGATTAGAGCTTAACATTTATGATCTCTTTTAAGCCTCTTAACAATCGCTTAAGGGAGGTGCTGACATCAGCCCTGCTTTATAGGTGAGGAAACCGAGGCTTCAGGAGTTGAGGATCGCGATGAAGGATGCCCAGGTACCAGGTGGCGGCATTAACAGCAGATCAGTGTGGAATGAATGAATCACTTGGGAGTAGGGTGGAAAGACAAACAGCCTGTATCTTATAATCAAATGGTTTTAGAGCTGTAGGCTTAGAGATGACTTAGCCCCTTCGGTTCTTAACTTGGGGGTCCATGAATGGGGAGACGGATGGGTTCCAGGACCAGACAGATGAGGTCCCCATTGTACTCAGTGGCTTCTGATCCCTTCACCTTCCACCAACCCTCCCACCTCATCCAAGTCCTAGAGCCACCCAGCTTGTCCTCTCTCGGCACCCCTGGCAGGTGCCCTATCCCAGTGTTGCCTGCGGCTCCGGAAGTCTCTGCAGTCCCTGGAACATCCTTATTCCCCAGTCAGGGCAGGAGCACGACAGGCATTTGGGACCTGTTCCTCCCCCCTTGGAGATGTTGGGAAAAGGGGGAAGGCCACTGGGGTGAGGGAGTGAGCTCAGACCTGGGAGGCAGACATGCTGGGCTTCTAATAACGACAATGATAGTAATAGTATCAAAGGCTAACATTTATTGAACACCTACTATGTGCCAGGCACTGTCCTAACCCCTTGACTTCTGAAGCCTTTTATCTTCACAACTCTTCCAGGTAGGTTCTGTTATTAGCCTCAGTTGGCAGTTGAGGAACTGTGGTCCAGAGAAGCGGGGTCACTTGCCGAGGCCAGGCAGCTGGCAAGTACCAAGGGTCCCACTGTTCACGGACCGGGTGTCTTTGGACAGCTCACTGCCACTGTGCTGGGTGGCTTCCTCCAGCTGTTCCCCGCGGGGTCCCACCTCATGGTTTCTGTGATGACTAAGATAGACTCTCCAGTATCCCAGCACACAGTAGGCGCTTAGTAAATGAACAGCCCTTCTCTCCTCTTAACTCTTATGGGGGAAACCTGTGGGGGGCACCTGGCAGCGTCCTCCCCCCAGGGTTTCCCCCCAAGCTGGGAGTAACCCGCCCCTTCTCGCAGCAACGACACCCCGATCTCCCTTCCTAACCCCAGACCCACGCAGTGCCTGGTCTCGCGGCAGTTTTAATAACGTTGATCATAATTCTCGCACCTCTGGGCCGAAAGCTGCACCCCGACGCCCCTTGCCGGGGCTTTGGGAATCCGCCCCCAACAAGCCCCCTCCCGTCCGGCCGCCCTGGGAGGGTTGGAGGGTTGGGGAAGAGGGTGAGGAAGGGAACTGCTGTGTCCTCGGGCCCAGTGGGGTCCTGGGCGGGGGCCCACGGAAGGTGGAAGGGGCTAGGAGGCCGGGGCCTGGTCGTCCGCGCGGTGGCCGGCGTAGAGCGCCGCCAGGGGCCGGAAGCGCGGGCCCCAGCTGCGGAGATAGGCGAAGTCCTGCTCGGAGCCCGAGGAGCCGCTGTGCAGCGAGCTGAGCGAGCCGGCGGGCGAGTCCGCGCCCTCGAAGGCGTAGGTCTGGAAGGCGTCGTAGGGCGGCACCGACAGGTCCCCGTCCGCCAGCGCCACCTTGCGGCTGATGAAGTCCCTGAACACCGAGAAGTCCGGCGGCGGGCTGGGCGGCCCTGCGGGAGCGGGTGGCGCTCGGAGGGCAGGCCGGGCGCGGGGCTGCCCCCGCTCGGGCCGCCGCCCCCGTCGCCGCCGCCCTTGAGCTCGCCAAAGTCGTACAGGCTCCGCAGCGCCGACATGTCGTAGGCCTCGGTGTCCTGCTCGCCGCCACCCTCGTCGTTGTATTTGATGACATTGTCCCGCATGTCCTCGTCCTCCTCGGAGCTCAGGTGGCTCTTGTGGTGGCGCCTGAGGGTGAGGATCAGCAGCACCAGCACTGCGTGGGGGACAGAAGGGGCGTGAGGGCCGCGCAGGGCCCCTCCCACCCCGGGAAGCCGGGCCTAAGGCTGCCTGGGTAAGCGGGGAGCTCTCTCCCTCTTGGGGTGTGCACACTGGGGCCAGACCACCAGTCCGCGGGGCACCGAGGGCAGTGCTGAAATTTCATGGGTGTTGGGGGCTGGACCCAACCTCTGAGGTCTTCACCCTCAGCTCCATGAAGAGACACACCCAGGTCTCGGGTGCTGGGGGTGTGAGGGAGCAGCTGAGGGCTGGAGGAATGTCCTTGGCCCTGACCTCTCTTTCACCCTCGCACTCCTCTGCCCACTCCAGAGTCCTGAGCACCTCTGAGTCTCAGGTCAAGACGCCTCCTGCAGGAGCCCTTCCCGGAAGAGCTCCAGGCCATCGCCTCCCAGCTCCCTTGGTGAGGAGCTCCTCCCTCCGTCACACTGGTTCTCAAACCTCCATCCCTGGACCAGCAGCGGCCAGCTCTCCTGGGAGCTCGTTAGAAAGGTGAACGCTCGGGTCCCACTCCAGGTCTACCAGTGTGAGAGCCACTGCCCCATCATACCATCGGCCCTGCTCGGCTAACATGTCAGCCTCCCCACCCCCAAGTACACACGCTCCACTCCCCTGGAGGACCTGGGCAATGTTCCCCCAACTGCTGCCTGGCGTGCAGTGAGCACGTGGAGCGTGCTTGTTGAATGAATGACTGAATGAGGACGGAAACCTGGGTGAGTGAAAGGATGAGTGAATGAATGAATCAGCCCTTCTTGGCTCTCTTCACTTGACTTCCCGCCCTCCTTGTTCTCTGCCTCCTCCCATGTCTGATCACTCAACCATCTGAGCAGGCGTCTCCCCTCCGACTTCTTAACCTCAGATGTCGCAGGACTCAGTCCTTGGACCTCCATCCGCAGTCCCTCTTGGCGCTCTCCTTCAGTCTCATGGCTTTATAAAAGCTCCATTAGAGGCTGGCAAATCCTGTGCTGCAAACTCCAGCCTGGACCTCTCCCCTGAAATCTAGATTGTATGTCCTGTTTCCTATTTAACCAGTCCTCTGGGGTGGCCAAGAGAATCTCACATTTAACTGCCCACACGTGAGCGAATACTCTTTCCGCCTTCCTCACCCTCAGTCTCCTTCGTGGCAGTGATGGCAACCCCGACCTCCCAGTTACTCAGGGCTTTTAGTCTCTTCTGCTCACTGCTGAGTTCAGTGCCGAGAACAGTTTAGCACAGAGGGGGAACTCACCGGGTGGGTAAATAAGAAACTGATGAATGAAGGGGAGAATTAAATGGATAGGTGGGTGGATGGATGGACAGATGTCCTGGGTACTATGCCAGGCCCTGGATTGTTCTTGCTGCTCCAGCAGGGCCAGTGGCCAGAGTCAGCGGTTAGGGCCATGAAGCAGGGTGCTGGCTCATGGCCTATGGCCTAACAAGGTGGCTCATGACAGGGAAGGGGATGGGGCCAAGGAGAGGTCCGGAGGGAGGGAAGGTGTCAGGAAGATGGATGGATGGCTTTTGGAGCTGAAGGCTGGAAGCTGCGGAGGGGGATGCCCGTGAGAGCAGATGGTGGGGAGCGCAGGCGGCAGGCGACAGATGTGCCAGGCCGATCAGTGATTCCGCCGTCACCTTTAGAGCACTGATGTGCACTTTCTTCGTTTGTGGGCAATTAGGCAGAAATTTGTTTGCACTGCCTCAGAAAATGAGACCGCTGTAAAGTGCACCCTCTGGAAAAGGGTTTCTGAGCCATGGGCTGGGGAGGGGAGAGGGGGGGCTGGGGCCTCCCCGCTAGGAGAGGCCTCTGCAGGGACCTGAGGAGGTGCAGCTTGGCCACAGGCTGGTCCTCAGAGGGGGGGGGGCAGTGGCCAGACGAGTGGTGGGCAATGAGGGGTGGGGGCAGCTGACATCTCCCAGGGAACTGAGCAAAGCCGGTGTCTGCAACATGGGCCTCCCTTGAGTCCCTCTAGCTCTCACTGTTCCGTGAAGCCCAGTAGTCAGGGATGAGATGGGGCCTTTTGCTACCAGGGTGAAAGGCGGCTTTATGGCCACGTGAATCAGTTTAGCTCCTGGAACTTGACCTCTTCACTGGGAACATAGTTGGGGTTCAATGGGCTGCCGGTGGAACTGACACCAGAGTAAATTTTGACCCCAAATTCTTAAGATTTTGCCCCAGCTGCCCCAAGGTTTTGGCCCCAGTTTAGATTCATAGCAGGTGGGGTAAAGGAGCAGGGAACACAGGGCGCGAAGACGTGATTTCAAGTCAGTGGACTAACTGCATCCTACGAAAGCCACTAAACTCTCTGAGCCTCAGTTTCCTCATCTGAACAATGGGGATAATACACCTGGCTGAGTGGTGGTGAGGCTCACAAGAGCCCTTTACTACATAGAGACTAAAATAGGACAACGGATGAGAGAATCTTTAAAGACATGCTTGGTTTTTCAAAATTAGGGAACGTTTGGCCCGTGTAGAGGGTGGGGCAGTACGACTTAGTCTCAGGTGGGGGTTGGCACCGTCCGCTGCTCCGTACTGAGAAGACTGTTCATGGGAACTTCATGTTAGAGCTTGGACACCATTCGAGCCAGCCCTTCCCTGTATGGAGAGGGAAACCGAGGCCCCACGGGGACCACCAGGGAAGGAAATCCAGTGCCCAGGATGGGGCCATGGGGAGGGGGTGGCTCTCAGTGGACTCACCGACTAGAATGAGGACACAGACCAGCAGGGCGATGAGGGCGCCGGGGCTGAGGGAGGCGGCCATGACAAAGGCCGTGGTGTTGCAGGACTGGATGGCGCCGGAGCTGTCGCAGCCGCAGATGCGGATGGTGAGCGTGCCCGTGCTGCTGAGCGTGGGCGGCCCGCTGTCCACCACCAGGATGGGCAGGAAGAACACGTCCTGCTCCTGCCGGTTGAAGCCCAGGTGCTGCGTGTGCACTGCGGCTGTGTTGTCTGCGCCAGAAAAAGGGAGGGGCGGGTGACCTGAGGTCCAGGCTCAGCTTCCCCTGACCTGGGCACCTCTTGATTTCGCCTCCGGATTTGCCTCCCTATGCCCCAGGCTCCAGCCTCCCAGCTGACCTGTGGGTCTATTCCTCGATCTTCTAAAATTCTGTTCCCAGCTGTCCCCAAATCCTGTCCCCAGCCATATAGCCCGCAGTTCTGTCCTTAGCTGTCCCAACATTCTATTCCCAGCGAGCTCAAGATTCTTTTCTTATTCAAGCTATTCCAAGATTCTGTCCCCAGCTGGGCCAAGGTCCTGTCCCTGGCTATGGTGTCTGTTTGTTTTTTCCCCATTTGTCTCAACAGCCTGTTTTGTTCCAGATTCCACCCCAGTGTCCAATGCATCCTGACCCTGGGGAACTGTGGCCCTTGGGTTGTGGCTTGCTGGGCCCTGACAAGTCCTGGGTCATCAGAAAAGACTGGGGACACTGGCTAGCAGCTGCCTTTGGCTGCAGAAGCGTTCTGTCCGGAGTCTGAGAGACCGAGCCTAGAGGGCTGGGGCGTGGCCCCCAGGGCCTGGTAAGAGGACCTGCTCATGCCAAAGCTCCCTCAACCACCTCCTTCCTTTTTTAAACACATGTGGCCAGAGAGGATGGTGAACTAACACATGTACTCATTACCTTGCGATAGCCTGTTGCTAGGAATGCCAGCAGGCCTGGGGGAGGGGGGGTGGGTGTCTGGTCTTGGAACAAGGGCTCACGAGGCATGTGGTGCCCGCTTCCCCTGGCCTTCCTGCCTCCTCTGCATCTCTCCTGGATGGGTCAGGCCATCCCTGAGCCTTCATCACTTTGATCGCTGCCAACATGGTGGTTCAGAAGTACTCAGAGCCCAGCTGGCCACTCCCCACACTTCACAGCCAACTCCACAAGAGGGGGCCCTGCCCTCCAAGTCTTGCAGCTGGTCTCACTGACCTCTGACTTTGGCAGCCGGGGTCCCTCTCCCGGCCTTTGTGGCCTCAGTTAACCCAGCCTCTTCTCTGCAGCCCCCAATTCAGGGCCCCGTCCTGGCCTTCCCCATAATGGGTACAAAGCAGGAAAAAGCCTTCGGAGGGCCGTGTGTGACCTTGAGCACATCTAGGAAGTGGACTAGAGATCCAGCTGAAATGAGATTGGTCCCGGCTGAAGCTCATGTGATAGGCACATGAGAGTTTGTGATATGATTCTATCCACTTTTACACCCATTTGAGAATTTCCACAAAGATGTTAAAATAACACCAAGTTGACAATTTACTAGCTTGGGAAACTTAGCTTCTCTGGACATCAGCTGCCTAATCTGTAGCTGAGGAAAATAGAATCAGGTGGGAGTGAGGATTAAATGGTAAAACGCGTGCAGAACCCTCAGAATAGTTCCCAGCACAGAAACTCACAATAGATGCTGCGGTTCTTTTCTTCGCGCCCCACCCCGATGTTCCTGGGGCTGCACGGAGTCCCGCGCTCTGTCTAGGCTGCTCTGTCCTTCACTCACCAAGTCCCTGCTATTTGCAACACCCTCTCCACCTCCTGCCTGGGCAAGTTCCCCATCCGTCATGCTCCAGCTAAATGTCACCTCCTTTCTGTGGCCTCCTTTCTCCGCTTCCCTGGGAAGGAAGGATTTATGACTCCCCTCTCTCCGCTCTGACTACGCAGGTGCCATGCACATTCTGTTCAGCACTTGTCACCCTGTGGTACCGCAGCGTGTGCCTGTCTCTCCTGGCACCGAGCCAGACTTGGACAGCGATGCCTGAATGAACCACAACTTTCCGGGTCCCTTTTGTGGTCCTTGGTTAGTTCCTCCAGCTCTGGCTCGCACTCTAGCCCTCCTGTCAAAGGTGTAGTTAACCCAGGCTGTGAAAACATCGGCCTTCCCCTGGGGAAGAGAGGAGGCTCAAGAGCAAGATGGGGAAAAGAGGGAATGGGGTGGGACTCCTTTGCATGTACCGAATGCTTTCTATGCATCAAGGACTGAGTGGGTACTTTAAACACATAGTAATGTTTAATCCCTACAACCAAGAGTTGACATGATCCCCATTTTATGTATGTGGAAGTTGGCGACTTATCTGAATTTATCCAGTGAAATTGTTGGCATAGCTACCTTTTCCATCCACCCCAAATTACCCATTCATCCACCCATCCGTCCGTCCATCCATCCATCCATTCATCCATCCATCCATCATACATTCATCCACTGCTCCTCCATCCATCCTTCCATCATCCATCCATCCATCCATCATCCATCCACACATACATTCATCCATCCATCCATCCATCCATCCAATAACTCTTTATTGAGTAACTACTATGTGCTAGGCACCATGCTATTACGGGGGTGGGGGGAAGATAATGGAGAGCTAAACCAATAGTACTGGATCTGGGTTTAAATTCTAATGTGAGAGACAAATATTAATCAAATAGAAAAGTTAGTTTACAATTACAAACCACAGATCACGGTGAGGGCTAATGAGGAAAAGCATAGGAAGGGCACCTAACAGAGGACTGGACTCAGTCTGGAAGGTCAGGGAGGTCTTCTTGGAAGAAGTGATATTACTGCTGAGCCCTGAATGATGAGTTCAAGGAGGGAATAGCCACGCAAAGGCCCTGAGGTTGGAAGAAACATAATACACTCAAGGAGCCAAAAGCAGTTCGTTGTGGCTGGAGGGATGAAGGTGATGGCTAAAGTGAGTCAAGATGAGGCTGGAAGGGGAGGCAGGGACCTGCCGTGGAAAGTATTAGAGGCCGTGGTAAGGAATTTGGGTTAATTTCTTAAAAGCAATGGGAGGCCATGGATTGGTGGGTTTTAAGCAAAGAAGTGATCTAGTAACATGTCATTTATTCATTCAACAGCAGATACTAATTGAGCACCCTCTACATGTCAGGACTATTCTAGCCCCTGAGGATACAGTAATGAACAACACAGACAGGTCCCTGCCCTTGCTGAGCCTATATTCCAGACAAGGAAGTTTCTAATGTGAAATACAAGAGTGGATGTAGAAGACCAGTTGGGAAGCTATTGTGTGTTTCAGGTGTGAGATAATAGCGGTGGTGGAGGCACCGAGAATCAGACAGATTTGAAAAATGAGTGGCTGGCTCTGGCTCAGCTTCAAATTTCCAAGCAAGAACAGAGGAGAGGAGAGGGACATTTGTTTCCCAGGGTTGCTGTCTTGGCCATGGAGACATGCGTTTTGAGAGCTTTGGTCCCCGCCACTCCTTCACCCATAAAGAGGGACTCCATGAGCATCGTCCCCGACCCCTGAGCTGCCTCCCGGGCTGTGGCTGGTTTCTGCTGGGGAAGCCGCTGGCCAGCCCAGACCCCTACCCCAAACTTCTAGGTGGAATCTGCCCCCAGCACCGCATGCATCCATCTGGGCTGACATCTATCAGTGTCAGTCCCTGGCTGCAAAAGCAATATTTATAAATCACGTTTCCAAACTGGCTACAAATTTGTACAAAGAAACAGATGGTTTGGGGTAGCCGTTTGTCACCGTGGATATTTATACGGTGAGGAGGAGGGGGCATGGCACACCGCGGGAAGGATGGGGGACAGGAGGAGACCTTTCCTTGCTCCTACCAGGGGTTCCCCCAGGTAGAAGCTCTGGTGGCCTCCAGGCAAAGAGAGGCATTTGGGGCAGAACCCCAGGCCCCTTGGTTGGAAAGACTCATGCATTTGGAAAGGTCAAGCCAGGGCTATTTGTGTCTCCTGAGGCCTGCTCAGGATACCGCTGGAATGATGAGAAGGCAGGGCTATGCCGGTTAAAATATGGAAATACTTCCATAAAGGTTTAAAGAGCCACAACTCTGAGCCCCTCAATTCCTTCCCTGAGGCCTCAGCCTTCCCCCCAGGCACTCCCTACCATGACACAACCAAAGCCACTAGGGGGTTCAAGCCTGGCCCAGCCAGGGCTCCGGGCTCCTGCTCCAGGTGACTTAAGGTCAGTGTCCTTTCTGGGGTGCACTAGGTGTAAAATGTTTTTAACACGACTCCTGGAAATATGGATGGGTCTGGCTACAGAGCCCCCAGAGGTCTTTCCCTTTGGAGGGAAGGGGTGTAAAGGCATTGGGGATGGTCCCAGGCTTATTCCAGGGCCAGAGGAACCAACATGGTCGGGCCCCTGGCACCTCTCTGTTGACATCTCCTCCTGGTCCTGTCACTCACTCACGCCAACCAGGCAGGCCTCCTGTTCCTGGAGCATCCCAGGCCTGTTCCACCTCAGGGACTTTGCACTTGCTGCTCTGTCCACCTGGATCATTCTTTGTCCAGTTATCTGCATGGCTCACTCCGTTTCCTTTAGATCCCTACTCACTACTGATTCCTTCAGGTGGCCTTCCCAGACCATCTTATTTGAATTAGCTTGCACTCTTACCCTGTTTTATTCCCCCCTGTTTTGTTTAATACATTTTATTGAACACCTACTATATGCCAGGCACTGCTGTAGGCACTTAGGAGCCAGCACTGAACAAGATGAAGTCTAGACTCTTATGGCTATTACATTATTCCTCCCACTCCCACAGCCATTTACATCCCCAACATATTATTTATGTGATTCATTTCCCCTCACTAGAATGTATACTCCAGAGGGCAGGGATTTTTATCTTGTTTGCCATGTATTTCCAGAGCCTAGAACAGCACCTGACACAAATGCTCAATAAATAGTTACTGAATGAAGGAGCTAACATGTTCTAGGTACTCACAATACACCTCTGCAGCCCTCATCTCCCTGGGGGGACCTAGCCACCTGAGGTGGCAGGCTGGTCAGCCCCCATTTTACAGATGATGAAAACTGAGGCTTACAGATGTGCCAACCTTGTTAGAGTTGCATAGAGAGCCACCAGCTGAGCCTGGGCAGGACCCAGGTCCCTCACTCCCAGTCCACTGATCACCCAGTCTACTCCTCAAAGGCTCAAACTTCAAATTCTTGGGGAACTTGCTGGGGCACGTCTCACAATGGGATCAGCTCAGGCTGGGCGGGGCAGTTTCCTTTCAAGGTAGTGAGCTAAGGCAGGAAGTACACTGGATCTGAGACAAGCATGAGTTCAAGTCCCAGCCTTCCCACCGACTCCTATAGGGCCCTGGGCAGGTCCTTGATCCTCTTAGAATCTCAGTTTCATCACCTGCAAAAAGGAGGGAGGGCTAAGGAAACCACCTTAGGGTGGCTGTGAGGATGCAAAGAGCAACGTGAGTGACATAGAGCGCTTTTTAAGCTGAAGGATGGGGGGGTGTGCATATGGCTTAATCAACCTTCACTAGGGGCTCTTTATGCCCTGGCCTCAGACCCACCCCCTCCTCACGGAGTGCCTCTCTGTACTCTCCACTGGGCCACCCACCCGCTGCTGGTTCTGCAGGGTTTGACCAGCGGCCTGGGTAACAACAGCTCCAGCTTGGCCCAGACTTTCTGTGTGATCTTGGGCCCAACGCTGACCCTCTGGGTGTCTCAGTCTCTCCATCAATAATGTGGAAAGAAGGCAGTTAACTTAGGCTCCTCCCTCCATGCACCCTAGGATTTGGGGGTTCAGAAGTAACTCACCTTGAATGTCGAGCAGAGAGAAGTGAGGGTTGCTGGGAGCTTCAGGCACCAGGCGGAAATAGAAGCGGTGCCCACCCTGGGGCTCGTCTCTGTCCACCACGCTGATGGTCTGGATGAGCTAAAGGGTGAGGAGGGGCAGGGGGCTGACAGGAGGCCGAGCCCCCTCGGGGCTTGGGTAGAGGAGCCCCTGGCCAGTCCCGGCAGCAACCTGCAGCCCCCAGCCCCTGGGCATTACCTGGCCTGGCTTGGCGTCCTCACACACGGCTGCCTCGTAGGGAGTGGCCAGTTCTGGGGGATTGTCGTTCACATCCAGGATTCGGATCCTTAGGGATGCTCGGGAGAGCTGGGCATGATTGTCTGTAGCAAGAGCACAGGAGGAGGGTGACAGGTATCCAATATGAGACCTAGACAGGCCCCCACCTGCTGCTGGACAAGGTCAGGCAGTGGAGTCACACTGAGAGAGACTTGTGGGGTGATCAAGCTGGTACCAGGATCAGGACTGAGGACATCTGGCACAAGTGGGTTATCACCACTGTCACTGTCACATCACATTGCATCACCATCACCACCATTAGA